ACTTTACGCTCCTTGATTACCTGTGAAGGGAAATTGATCTTTCCTATTCCCCTTAACTAGGTACCTCAGTTTGTTTTTTAACAACTCAATTAAATAGTTTCCCACCGCCAGCATTATTTTCAGAAAAATAACCTCAGCCTACCTAATCTTTCTTCTCAGCTCAAATTCCAACACCCTTTTAAATATCCCCATACTATCACTCTCACAATCACATCTTTCCTGTGTACTTCAGGCTGTGGCCTAGTGTTTCATACAGTGCCAGTATAACTTCCCTGCGTTTTTTTCTATGCTCTACCTCATAAAGGAAAGTATCCTATATACCTTCTTAATCATTAAATTGTCCTATCATGCGACCCTCAAAAATCTACGGACATGCACTTCAAGTTCCCTTTGCTCCCATACATTTTCCAGTATCCTAGCAATAATGATGGTTTTTTTTTGTTCATTTGCCCTTCCTAAATAGATTACTTCTCACTTCTCAGAATTTAAATCCACTTGTCACTTTTCTGAACAGTTCATTAATACTTCCATGCAATCTATTGCTTATTCCTCACTATCAACCAACTAATCAATTTTTGCACCATCTGAAAACTCATTTGTTATGAACCCTATATTTAAGTCTAAATTACCACAAATATAGTTCAGGGGACACCATTTCAAAAAGAAATAAAGGGGGAGCCACTGAAGACTGAGATACGGAATTTTTTCATTGAGGGCTATTAATCTTTGGAATTCTCTACTCTGGAGAGCTGTAGAAACTCCTTTTTTTTTGAATATGTTTCATTTAGAAACTGATTTAGAAATTGGTCAATGATATAATGATCCATGACCATACTGAATGGTGATGTAGGCTTGTTAGGCAGAATAACTTACTCCTGATTATTATGTGCCTGTGAAAGCAAGGATTCTATATTGAGCCTGCAGAACCCTATTAGAACTGATCCCCCAGTCACAGAAACAGAAGCTTTCTGTCAATGAGCCAAATCTGAATCTAACATGTCACCTCTCCTTGGACCCATGGGGCCATACCCTTCTTATCAGTGAGTCAAAGTGTCCCTGGTAAATTAAAAATGAACTAGATGACCAGTATCCAAATCAGCCCCAACCTCAATGACAGGGAAACAAAGCACTCCTGTGCAAATGACAAAGATTTTTTCCACATTTCTCAGTCAGAAATGCCAAGTGGATGATCTAACTCAGCCTTCTCCTTTGGTCCTCCCCACCTTCCAGAAATGCCAGACAGATTCAGTCCATATGATTTAAAGAATGACTGAAGGGAGTGGATACATCAAAGACTTTGGGCCTTGAAAACATCCCAGCTGTAATATTGAAGACTTGTACTCCAGAAATAACTGCACCGTCAGTCATGCTTTTTTTAATATATTCAGTTGTGGGATGTGGGCATCGCTGGCTGGCCAGCATTTCTTGCCCATCCCTAGTATCCCTTGAGAAGGTGGTGGTGGTGAGTTGCCTTCTTGAACTGCTGCAGTCCACCTGCTGTGGGTTGACCCACAATGCCATTAGGGAGGGAAGTCCAGTATTTTGACCCAGCGACAGTAAAAGAACGGCAATATATTTCCAAGTCAGGATGGAGAGTGGCTTGGAGGGGAACTTGGAGGTGGTGGTGCTCCCATATATCTGCTACCCTTGTCATTCTAGATGGAAGTGGTTGTGGGTTTGGAAGGTGCCGTCTGACGATATTTGGTGAATTTCTGCAGTGGATCTTGTAGATAGTACACACGGCTGCTACTGAGCTTAGGTCATGGAGGGAGTAGATGCTTGTGGATGTAGTGCCAGTCAAGTGGGTTGCTTTGTCTTGGATGGTATCAAACATCTTGAGTGTTGTTGGGGCTGCACTCATCCAGGCAAGTGGGGAGTATTCCATCACATTCCTGACTTGTGCCTTGTAGATGATGGACAGGCTTTGAGGAGTCAGGAGGTGACTTATGCACTGCAGTATTCCTAGCTTCTGGCCTGCTCTTGTAGCCATCATGTTTATGTGGTGAGTCCAGTTGAGTTTCTGGTCGATGATAACCCCCAAGATGTTGATATTGGCAAGTCAGTGATGGTAACACCATTGAATGTCAAGGGGTGGTGGTTAGATTGTCTCTCATTGGTGATGGTCATGGTCTGGCATTTGTGTGGAGCGAACGTCACTTGCCACTTGTCAGCCCAAGCCAGATTTTGCTGCATTTGAACACAGACTGCTTCAGTATCTGAGGAGTCACAAATGGTGCTGAACATTGTGCAATCATCAGCGAACATCCCCACTTCTGATGCTGGAAAAGCTCAGCAGGTCTGGCAGCATCGTGAAGGAAAAAACAGAGTTAACGTTTCGGGTCTGGTCAAAATGTTAACTCTGTTTTTTCCTTCACACATGCTGCCAGACCTGCTGAGCTTTTCCACCAACTTTGTTTTTGTTCCTGATTTACAGCATTCAAAGTTTTTTCGGTTTGTATCACCACTTCTGATCTTATGTGGAGGGAAGGTCATTGATGAAGCAGCTGAACATGGTTGGGCTGAGGACACTATCCTGAGAAACTCTTGCAGAGATGTCCTGGAGCTGAGATGATTGACCTCCAACAATCACGACCATCTTCCTATGTGTCAGGTATGACTCCAACCACCGGAGAGTTAATACAGTTGCAACACTGGAATACATCTGATAATGTGGAAAATTTGCCTGGTTACGTTCTGACCACAAAACAGGACAAATCCAACTTGACACTGAAAAGGGGACATTTTCAGGTCTAAGAGCAAAAAAGGATTTATTCCTGTGACATTTATTTTATTTTGATTCTTTTTTATGGAGCTTAAATTTAGTGCTACAGGGGATATATCGTCATTGCTCAAAGATATATCATTATTACTTTTAAAGACAATGGCAGTGTTTTAGCCTGATGCATTATATATGTGGCTGGCCTTTATGAACGGTAGAGGAGCCTTTGGAAGCTCAACAACTTTAACAACACAGCATCGGTGTGGACATCATCTGACTACCCTTAAGGAGAAATGTGGAACTAATTATAGTTAGCTTCACCAAGGAGAAAAATAATAATTTGTTGAACAGCTTTATCACTCACAGCCACTGTAGACAGGAGTCAGTTAAGAGAGTCTTGAGTTTCACTGAGGCATATTTATCTTACTTTAACATTTGATCAATCAAATGAAAATAACCAGGCCTTATAACATTCTCAAAAAAGAAGACACTGTTTTTAAAGAAATAAAATCATTTACTTCCTTTAAACATTTTGTCTAAAACCATGTTTCTTTGCCTCTGATGAGCAGCTTGTGCTATTGCCAACAATTTACACAATTACACAAATGAACTTTAGTGTAATTAGTTTCACAAATTTGTAGTTAAAAGCAAGATTATTTTTAAGTGTGCTCACATAAAAATATGGAAATATACATTTATCAAGAATGTTTTTTAAGACAACTGCATATACATTAGAATCTGTAACAAAAATATTTTTCTTGTAGCGATCTTGGTCATACTGCTTCATGACACCTAGTTTAAACACAATATAAGGGATAGGATTTATATTCAGCTTTCAAGCTAATAAAATAATAAATTACAACCAGTGGGAGCAAAGTATACTGTACAATACACAATTGGAGTGATAAATGCTTTTCATTTTCCACCAGAGGACTAACATTAAACAATCAATTATTCAATGCTGACTACCAAGTTACTCCAGTCAGATCCTTTCCTATCCTGCCCTCCAGAAATATGGAAATGTAGCATTAGAGAGAGATTGGGGTATTTTAAGTAACACAATACACCTGATTGCAAACATAGAAACATATATAATTTGATGTGCACTACACCTTTACAATAAATGACATCAATTTCCATACAGTGATATAGTGTTACATGTATATTAGATTCTACTGTACAGAAGTGCAAAATTAGCTGCAGTGATTTTAGTGTAAAGGTTGCTTAAAGTTACTGGAGAAACCAAAATGTATATTGCAACAATTACAGAATTTAGAATCCAGTATCAATTTGGAGCATATATAGTATGCAAACACTAAATATTGTTCCAGTCCTCAAAAATGAATTAATTCTGATGTGAGAAAAGTGCAGGCAACAATGAGGAACACATCTGTGCCTCTATCCCTCTTATTTTCACTGAGTAACATTACTGAATTTGTTCTTTCTAGTTTTTGGGAGATGAGTCTAGTAGATCTTGTAAAGTCTTTGCAATATGGGGTGGTCGGGTTGGGGCTTGATCAATTAAGCTTTGACCCATTGGTTTAAACAATGCCTTAGCTAGTTTAGCTGTAGCTATACGAATGTTTCCTCCACTACCAGGAAGTGATCCACTGTTTGTCATATTTCCCAGGAGATGCCACAAAACTGGCAAAACCTTTTGTTCAACAAGCTGAGGCTTCCGTGTGTACAAGTCTGGTACCAGATCTGAAATAAAAAAAAGTGGTAAATCTGACGCAATTCCGCCCACCGCCTCCGCCAACGCAATTCCGCCCACCACCGCCGACGAAACTCCGCACACAGCCGACGCAACTCCGCCCACAGCCGACGCCAACGCCGCTCCGCCCACCGCCTCCACAGCCAGCAGCTCCAGAGGAGACAGCAGCACCCAGCCCTGCCGAGTCTTCACCATCCTCCCATACCTCCCCCTTACTGAGGACGAACAGTCAGTCCTCAGTAAAGGGCTCACCTTTGTCCCCCTCCACCCACACATCAACGAATACCGGTCACGTTTGGACATGGAGCAGTTTTTCTGCCGCCTCTGCCTCCGCGCTTACTTCTTCAACCGTGAGCCTAACCCTGCCTCTACTGACCCCTTCTCCCGCCTCCAACACACCCCCTCCTCCTGGACACCACCCCAAGGCCTCCTACCCTCCCTCGACCTCTTCATCTCCAACTGCCGTC